AATTGCTAGGACAGGAACAATATTTATCTTGTCTCATCTTATGTAGAATGGTCCGCAAACATTTCATCAGTCGTACTCCTTCGTCTTTATTCTTTCGGTCGTAAGATCACGCAAGCAGTCTGTCAAAATTGTTTTATGAAAGTTCTTGAAGGTTCAGACAGTCTTACACCTACTTCCTTTCAACTGTAACCTGTATCAGCATGTACGATGAATTTTGCGACATGGAAAGCAAGTGCTTCCACTTGTTCTCTACATGTGCTACTAGCTATTTGTTGCATTTACTGCTAGAAATTTTCATTCCTTGCAACATTGAGATCGACGATCGATCTGCATTTCGAATACTGGCACGCATTTAACCTATTTTCTCCAATCCTCTTATAGCTCAGAGTTCAGCCACATATCTCCTCTTCTAACTTTTGATCACAATTCTTGAATTATCACAAAACATCATTTCAATTTTCGACCCAGTTTCTTTCGCGACTCTCTGCAGCGAATTAGAAATGGACAGCACGTTACAAAGATAAAAACCTGGGAACGGTCTTCCACAAGCCTCTCCACAAGTTAGGGTAGAGTTAAATCCACAAGTACTCTTGATTAGGTCTTGGTTCGACAAGTAACCGGCTTACTAAGGGCAGCATGCATTAACATCCCCGTTGGAGAGGAGATCGCAGCTTATAAGAAAAGCTTTATTTCCTTAAGATCCAGATATCTGAATTTCACGTTGTCTACCTATCCGTTATTCCTATTATCCTTCACCATAAACTATTGAACAGGAGCGAGAAGCTCAAGCCGCATTTTTCAGCTTTCTGTATGATCCCCTGATGATCCCCGGCGGCCGACCATCTTCTCTTCGAAGTCACTTTTCTTTCTTAAAAATCAACGAAAACATTTCAAAGCTGCACTGATTATCTAACACAACAGTGCTAAGCATATTGCTGATGAGAACAAGTGAGTTTCTGGAATGTCGAAATCGATAAACCCCAACTTCCGGACTGTGATTCATCGAAAATTTCATGACTCCGAAACATCATTTGTTCTTATTAGTAGCATGCTTTTCACTTTTGGATTAGATAAGCAATACCACTTTGGAATGTTTTTATTAACATTGAAGAAAGAAAAATGACTTTAAAGAGTAGACGGTCGTCTCCCGGGGATCACCAGGGGATCATACAAAAACCTGTAAAATGCGGCTTGTAGCTTCTCTTCTGTTCCATATGTTCATAGTGGAGGATAGTGGGAATACTTACTGATAGGTAGATATGGTGGAATCTGGAGCTTCGGGATATGAAGCTTTCTTCCAAGCTGCGATCCCCTTCCCAGCAAGAATGCTAGTGCATGCGGCCCTAAGAGGTCTTTGGGGATCAATCCACAAGTATTCTGGGAGGCACCCTCGACGGTTGACAAGTCTTGGGGGAATTCACTTTTATTTCAATGTCAAATCAACTGCTGTGTTTTCCTCCCAAACAAGGTTTGGTGAGATTTGAAGTGATACCCCACACACTCTATTTGCAGCTCGCGTGGCACAAGTTCAACAAACAAGATTTTCTAGAGCGAGTAGTATATAAAATTTGGTTTTTATTGGCGGGGTGGATAATGGAGATCGTAACTAAAAGTTATAAGCAGTAGACACTTTCGCATTGAACAATTCTTGAATAGATGAAGAATGAGCCCTGAACGACTGAATTGTAAATGCCATTGCCTTCCCTGGCAGCGTACTTAACATATAACATATTTCATATTTCAGGTAACATATTTCTCGTACCTTCCTTCCTGCTAGGTTAACTGTTCGAAAAAAATTGTCATCACAATATACTATTCGTTGTCGTCTTATCATTCTGCATACAGCAGAATTTTAAATCAAATGATTTGAATACGCAACAGTTCTTTCAGTGGTGGTTGTTTATCTACAAAAAAATGTAGAGCAGCTTTCATACTCTAGGCAACAACTACGTGGAGCAGAATCGAGAACTGCTTATCTTCTAGTTTCTTTGCATTGATTAGCAAAGGCGTACGCTTAATGCTTTCAATAAGTGTGCTTTACGTCGGTTCGAAAGTGCTGCTGTGCATCCATCGTTTGATTCGCCGTTTCAGGAAATCACGATACTAATGAGGCAAAAAAACACCATGAAAACAACTTCTTCAACTTGATGATTCACGTTTTTGAATATAATAAAAGTGCGGCATCCCTAGGCGTCGTACTGACTAGAAAATCAGAAAAGAATGTATGTTCGTCACAAAGATTTAGACTTGTTCGGGAATTTCTACTTGCGGTACCCTTGAATGACAACACGTATGGTCTATATTCTCGTCTTCAGAAGCCTCTTCATTACCAAAGCTTAGAAAGGTCACCTGGTACCTAAAATTTGAAGGTAGGAGGAACTAGATGGGTTTGCAAATCTGCTAGAGTAGGTTTCACTCCGTTTACACACTGATTTTGAGATACTAGACGCCAGTGCACTATGTCGCCAAAACACTCTGTTGTCGTATGCCGACAATGGATAGACCACACCAATAGTGAAACCAAAACAAAACGTCCAAATTAAATCTAAAATTCATTTATCGAAAAGAGAGACAATGATTGAAGTAAAAGTGTTATCAAACTGTGCACTTCTCTCGCATACATTGTCATCATAAAAGCGCACAATCGTTTGTACTAGAACAAGGACTAAAGGCCACTTTTCAAACACTACAATTTATTTCAAGCAAATTTGCCTTCATTAACATATAAAAAACCTGTGAATCTACCAAGTGCTTGGATATAAAGAAGATCTACTTTATTTTTGCAGTAAGCTCTTGAAAATTGTCTGACTAGCTTGAATGACAATACGTAAAGTCTATATTCTAACCGCTTTACCCGGCTCCGCCCGGCCCACCAAAACACTACGATAAAGGTCCCATCGGTATGATCTTTCCCTGTGCCCACTTCTACAAGCCAATCCCGTATTCCCGCTGTGTTAGTAATCAGCATGCTCATCTATCTTCCCCCCCCCCCTTTGCCAATTTCCTGCCCCGCAGGCCAAACTTTGCAAACAACGATAAAATCTATGAAAGTAACAGATAATTCTGAAAACCAATATCGTATTCAACATGCTCGATTACCCCAGTGCCAACTCCCACCCCCGTAGCTCAAACTTTACAAAGAAGACGATTAAGATGGATAAAATCGATGCCAATCGATAACGAAAAGTAGCCTACAACACCCGCTATACATATACATATAAAAATATATATATATACAAGGGTGTGATGTTCAACATCATACGGACGATATCTTCGAACCAATTGTCAACTTTTTGTACGGGAAGAAGACACTGAAACGAAACCGTAAAAGTGTTTGCTTCAGTCTAATGAGGCCATATTGGGGTATGCTGGTCCAAAAAAGATGTCGTTACTTCTCACCTGCCACTACACCAATCGAAACGATATCAAATGATAGAATTATGGTTAATCTAACAAATATCTCTGGGAAGGTGGCGGACCAATTTAGAGACAGGCTTCAGAATCTATTGTTTTTTATGTTTACGAGGTTTGGCAACATTAATACTGGTCTATGTGTAATACAGGGAACTCGTTTCTTTTACAAATAATGAGGCCATATTGTAATGAAAAGACAAGTAAAATGACAAGTAAAATTATAATGAGTTCGTGTAACTTGAAGGGGCTTGTACAAAGTTTTTGAAATTTTCCCATGGCTGTGATTGGCAATGTGATCTTTTTGAATAGTCTGGGAATTAGGTTCAAATTTTTATTTTCAACTCAGATTCTTTTTTTATAATATCATTGGGGATAAATAAGATCAGAATAAAAGAAGTTCAATTGATATACATTATCGATCGATAGCTCTTCATTACTGTAGGATTACGGTAGAAAATTCAAAGAGGGTTTTGAGCCATGAAAGGCCATATTTTGCCTCAGAAAGGAAACAAAACAGCCTGAAAGCTTTTACACCAAACTAATTAGAGTTGTTGATTCTAATGTAAAGTTTTTAACTTATTACGATGCATCATTGAAGAGTTATGAGGTAGCGGCCATTTTTTCAATGTTCTTAAAAAGTGCGGTTACACCGTTTAGAAAGCTTCGTAATCTTGTGAATAGTTGAGTATTGAACTCAGCGTCCATAAAGAGCGATCGATAATTCGCTCCATACTTTAAATCTAAGTTGAAGCCAGTTCTACGAAAAGGTACCTGAAGCAAGGCAAAAGACTTGTTGGGAAGAAAGATATTAACGATCAAACATGTATACATACTTTACGGACACCCTGTATATATACATACACAAACACATATAGTGGGTCTGTTTGTAGAGATACCAAACACTGGATAAAAATTTCTGAGCAGCATCTGGAGAAAACGCAAAACCGATTAGAATTGTTTATTAGCCAACCATAATGAAAGCAAAAATGCAAAGCTTCGTATTTTATGACGCACTTGCCATGATAAAAATTCATCTTATACTAAAATGGATGGCATGTATGGAACGAATCTGAATCAAAATCTTAATTCAAACATTCCGGATAGCATTTCATTGACAAGTAGACCACTTTCGACAGGTCCCCGCGTAAAGAAAAAACAGTCGGAAGTCAGGCAAAGACGCGTGATCCTAGTTTACTGCCATTCTCCGTGGTCTGGGCTGTAATTGTGACTTTTCTCGAATTTTCTGTTACTTCTTTTTATCAAGCTTTTCCAAAGCACCAAGTTTAATATACGACATTTTTGTTACACAATCGCTAAAATAATCCCCTAGGTCGAGCTGAATACATAGAAGCTACTCAATTTGCTCGTCGACTAGAGAGAAAACAGTAATGGCTCTTTTGTGGGTTACCTAGCGATTGTTGCTAATTTTAGTGCCGTTAATTGCATTTCAATAAATGCCAATGTCAAAGACGCAAATGCTGTGCGAGCGCAAAAGAGTGCACAGCAATTGGACCCGTGCAAATTGCAGTACAACTGCTTATAGACTTTTTCGACATTATAAAATGCCCTAAAGGTAGATTTAAACAATGAAAGCAATGTGGCATTTAGTTGCTATACCGGTGAGTGTCTAATGCTAGCCGTTCATTCTCATCAAGTAAGCACAAAGATTTTAGTTGTTAACTTTCTTAATTCCTGCATCCGAGGGGAAGCCATGTAAACCTGACCGTCTGGATAAGAGATTGGCGAAAGCATTCCATGATAGGGAAACAGAATGGGTAAGGGATGCGCGGTACAGTTTATGGTGATGTTACTCTGTCAAATCAAGTGGGAAGATTACCAAAGCTGCACAACAGCTCGAGATCATTTTATCAGCAAAGCTGGTAATTTTTTCGAGATTTGTGCATGTGTCCCCTTTCAGTGGTTCTGTTGTGATTGCAAAAAGGAGTCTCGTTCGTACACACGCGGTCCAATAGCTACTCCAATACCATCCAAAGGTGTATATGCGTTCGAAGTATATCGACGGTATGTTGTCTAGCCTTACTTATTGTCAATTAGCTATTGGTAGAGATTTCTATTTTAATCCTTTTTCTTCGTTGCAGAGGCACGCCGGCAGACGAGATAGTCGCAGATTTGATCAGGAAGGTAAACATTCTCAACAAAAGAAATATTGACATTAAAGAAAGAAGTTTTTGAAGACTTTTCTGAGTTAATTACACAGTCTGTGAAAAAGGGGGTACATCAACAAACTGGCGCATTTTTAGCTTTTTTGATGTTTAGCTTTCAATTGAACAAGACTTGCTCCCTTTTACCCTTGCAATACTGCGATTTAAGTATAAGGACATGACATTTAATGGCACAATTTGAGAAAAGAGAAATTCTGTAGATTTTGTTGTATGTGTGCGTTTGGAACGAATATTTATAGATGGCACTATTTAAAAAATTGACCAGGTCTGCAATAAAATGAAAACTTTTCAGCATGAGAAAAATACAGTTGTGAGATGTGGATGCACTAAAGGACCTAAACGAGTCGTTTGTGCATGTCGGGAAGACGAAAAAGATACGCCAAAAATTGGCGTAAGTGTGGAAGTCCAGAGCGAGAATTTCCTTTCGCCGATTTCGCATGACTTCGAATGAAGAAGTTCAAGGTTTGAGAAACAAAACGCTTTTAACACGATGCTCAGTAAAGAGATTAGGCCATTTTTGTCTGCACAGTAGAATCCACACAAAACATACGGGATGTGCCAAAAAATGTCCCCTCTGTTTGTTCGTTGTTTTCCTCTTACCATGATGTTTTTTCTTCGCCAGTCTTTGCGTACCGCTTTACAGAAATAGCTTCAACGCAGATTCTACCGTAGAGCGAATCATCAATTTTTCTTCGTAATTGTGAGATTCTGTAAAAATCTTCAAAGGCGTTTTGCTTTGTCAAATCTTGTCCCCAAAAAACTCCAAAAGAAGCATAATTATACCATTTCAGAATATATGAGCGCACATTATTGTGAACCTATGTTCAAAGGTGTTTGTTTTTTGTAAAGGTTATTTTGTCTAAATTGCTTTACAAATCCATACATAGTTATTCGGTGGAGTCAGCTCCAAAAAATATTCCGCAAAGGGTTACAGATGATCTAGAAGTCTTCTGAATTACCAATCAGTTTGCAAGGACGCTAGTATGGTAAAAAAGCCGACTGCAGCCCTACAGTAAACAAACGGCGGTCGATGATTTGGTCTATACTATTTTTTTCAGGTGTATAAGCCGCATCCTCTTTGCTCTAAACGCGAGCAGACCCAGACGTGCCGCTGCTCAAGTGCCTCGCAAAGCGGTCGCTTTCTCGCGTTGCTCACCTAACGCGTCTTTTGTCGTGTGCGCCTTTAGAGCGAACAGAGTGCGGCTTATAACCTGAAAATAGGGTACGGACCAAAGTAGAAACACGTTCTACAGAAAGTTCTCAAATGTCGGCAAGAGATCATTAAATGGGGTCTTTTCGGGACGATCTATGGACATATGAGAAGACGCTAGCGTCTGTGTCTGGGCAAATTTGTATTCTTGAGGTATTTTCATTTGCAATCAAGCACAAGATTTTTATAGAGTAACCGAACATACTTGTACATCAGTGTAACCAAACATGCTTGTACACCACAAGAGCAAACAAATCAGCTCAGCTTTATTCTGGTCTATGATGAAATCTATAAAGAATGAAATTTACCAATGATGGGAATTAGATCGTTGTTTGCTATTAGTTTGCGTATTCGATATCAGATTTCTCCCTGCTTGCTTGATTTGCTCCTCCATATTTGCCGGCAAGCAGTCTTCAAAGTGCGATAAGAACAGGGGAGAAGTTTTAAAGGAATAGGTAATGGGCGGATGAATCCGCAGGTTCCACTGACCCAGCACAATCACTAAAAATAAAAATGGCTCATTAAAAATTTGACAAACCGGAGAAGCTAATCACAACAAAAATGCAAAGAGAACATTAACAGAAAATGGAAGGCTGAAAGGAATGAGAATAACAACGATCATATCATAATCGAACGAATCAACAGCCCTGAGACCGGCATCCGTGATATGGTGCAACGTACGCCTCGCGACTACGCTCTATGGTCTTCGAGGAAAAAACTAGACTGCTACAAAAATCTGAAGTATGCTAACCTAATCTAACCTAAACCTAACCTAACAAGGCCGCCCTAGCGTTAGCTGCAAATACACCGAACTACGCTTAGCTGTCGGCAGTGTACAAAACTGGGGAGATTGCAGTAATATATGCAACAACAGCTACCTAATTATGACGAGAGGAACCAAACAATCGATTTATAAGGCAAATACAATAATCTATATCGCAGATAGACGTAGAAGAATATCTCATAGGTTGCTCGCGAGTAATTTAGGCGGCATTCGTACTGGTTGGAAAGATACGGGACAACTGCAGGCGGAACGCTCAGAACTGTGTCGTGACTGCACCGCATGCGCTGCAGTCGCCCGCATGCGTTTTCAACTATGGGAAAATCGCAACTTTTGTCTGTTTCCAATGGTCTTTATGGCAGGTTTTGTTCTTTATCGTCTCATGCTTGTTTCTCGCTCCTCTTGTGATGATTGAGAATGAACGCTGTTTCCTTTGTGTGTGGCCTGGAAACTGCCTTACCGAGCCCGCTTTCATTCTTGTGCACTGCTCCAAACTTGGTCTTTTCATGGCGGAGTTGAGAGTTAACGAGCATACGCTATGATTTGTGAAAAGAAATGGGACTGAAACGCACAAAAACCCAAGCTCATCAAACACAATGAAAAATCTTCGTTCTTTTCGTGATGAATGTATTAGTTCTGTTTGAAGACAGGGCTAAAACGAGAATGCAGCGACTTTTCGAAAAACAAGAACGGTTTCCGACACTTTTGCAGAAGAAAGGACGCGCAAAGGCAGAGGGCCATACAGGCTTTTGCGCAACATAGGGCACGAAAAAACGTTCATTCTCGAGCTGGTACCAAGTTTGGAATCTCTTCATAAAAAGAGGTCGCGAAACACAAGAGAAATCGGGCAAAATCTATGATAAATCACTGAAAACTATCAAAAGTTGCTATTTTCATCGCTCAATTGCATGCGAGTAGCTGCATGCAGCACAAGTCGAGCGCTATCCTAGAACTGTGCCGAAACTTCCGGATCACTACGGATGCCGCCTTAACGGGACGCGTCAACTGACATAATGCCACGGATAATCCACATACGGTAAAAGTGCGCTCTATCCTTCTCTATAGAGTGTTTCCCTTGATCGAAAACCTGCTTTTATGTGCATCATAGTCCGGTATGCAGTCATTCCTCATCACTCATAACAATTTCAAATGGAAAATTCCCTTTGATGTTTCTATATATGGGACCAAAGATGCAGACGTCGATAACGCCATTTTTTGGTTTACAAAAAACATTGTTTTGAGCCGTTACAAAACAAAGGGGGTGTATCCCATTACTTGTGAGTGCCAATTATCGGTTCGCCGCGCGCGGCAAGGCGGCCTCAATGAGCACGCGAACAACTCGTACAGTGAGGTACGCGACGCTTTGGCTTAAGTACGCGGCTTAACATTGGGGCAGAAAATGAAGGTGTTGTCCTCGCCGGAGCTGGCATAATTGCCGCCGCGCGGTCTCTTGATCCGCCGCAACGCGGCACCGCGGCTATCCACTCACAAGTAATTAGCGCCCCCCAAACAAAGGTCATCAAATTTATTTTGAAAATAAAACGCAGGTTTTGTAGAGCAGAATTGGCTCTTTTGAATAGTAGAGATATTGCCGTAAGTCAACCGCTTCATCAGAAAACAGCGACAAAACTAAAAAACGTTACAAACTTATGGAAGAACTTATGGAACGGCTCAATAGTTTTGATTTTCTTTGTCAGCTCTGTGAATGATATTCTAGCAAGTGATGATAGCAATTGCAACCAAGACGTTATAATAGCAAGACAAGTCTCTATTAATTATGAACGTTTGTTATATAATTTCAATTATCAAGTATCGATTCAAGACAATAGCTCATGCGACACATAATAAGTCACCCCTCTAAAAGCTCTGTTACATGGTCACTAGCGCACCACAGATAGATTAGTTGCATTGGAAAACATCTGAGCATCGTTAAAAGCATACTTTCTATTCTTATCGTGCAAGTCTCAACATATTTTGTGCGCCTTTCATCCTCGCTTTGCCTTTTAACGTACGCCAAAATCAAAGCTCAATGCAGTCATATAAACAGCTATGCTAACTCTCTCTGTCTAAATTTGTCTCTGTATGCCGTGATCATAACAAATGACTAGTGTGCTGAATGGTACATTAAAATTTGGTTTATACCTAATCAAAGCAGTTTTAAGCAGATTGAATTTGAACAGGTCTCGATATTTAAAGATGTCGAAAAGACAGGTGATGAGAGCTTTCAGAGAGGAGGACAGAATATAAAGGAAGAAAAACATGGAAAAAGCATGGTCTTCTGAGTGCCATCGTGCTCCTAGCTAAATTTCTTTCGTGAGTCCTTTACATGCACCGTTGTGGACCAAATTGTCGTTCGACATTCAAAAAATGGAGGAGAGGTTGCAATTGATGAAGCTCTGAAATCACTCTATGAGAGCTTTGCTATCTAACTTCAAAATGCAGTCTTTTGTTTAAGTTCCAATAAGAATTTGTAAGAATTTTGTAATTTTCGCCTTGTGCATGCTAAGAATAACAATAATGCAATCCAAAATTGAGTACATATGATGTGACGTACATGTCGACCATATAAACAGCGCTTGATTATTCAGTGCGCCCAAGGCAAAAGCTCTATATAACTATTTGCTGTACTTAATTATATGATTTAAATCAAGCCCAGATGTCCTAATAATAGAAAAAGTGAAGCGTATATAAAGAAAGCAGTTCGTATCGTTTCCACCTTTCACTTGACTCTATTTAGCCTCCTTATTCAAGGTGAGAGTTGGTCTCTTTTTCTCGCAGATTATGGTCAGTCAATCACATGAAGCAACCATTGCTGTGACTTCAACATTTTTATACCATGATTGGGAATTTATCATTCTCAAATTGTTGCTCAACATGCAAAGCAACAAGTGGGAAATTTAGAGGTTTATTGAATGTAAAATCTTGCTGAAAATTACGTACTTGACAAAAGCTATGTGTAGTACCCATGCTTGACTATCGATTAGCCTCAGCATTGTTGAGTATGTCTTGAAGGCACCGT